ACCTTCCAAATGTAAAGGAACCTAGACAGGTCCTCTTCCACCTCTTGTCACATCATATAGTAATAAGATTAAGATCCTGGCTTAAAAAGAGAAAAGATCCAAATGGAAGAAAAAAATCAGGGATGATGGGAGGTGGGATCCAAAGGGAAGGATAAATCAGGGATGATGGGAGGTAGGATCCAAAGGAAAGGAAAAATCAGGGATGATGGGAGGTGGGATCCAAAGGGAAGGAAAAATCAGGGTATGCTGGGGAAAGTGGAAGGCAAAAGGAAGGGGCCGACCAAGGGCAAGATGGATGGATGGCATCCTTGAAGTGACTGGACTGACCTTGAGGGAGCTGGGGGTGGTAACGGCCGACAGGGAGCTCTGGCGTGGGCTGGTCCATGAGGTCACGAAGAGTCGGAGACGACTGAACGAGTGAACAACAACAATGACCCAAATGGAAGAAGCATCAGGGTTGATGGGAGGTGTTATCCAAGGGGAAAAAACATCAGGGCTGATGGGAGGTGTGACCCAAAGGGAAGAAAAATCACTGATGATGGGAGGTGTGGTCCAAAAGGAGGAAAAATCGGGGATGGTGGGGGTGTGATCTAAAAGGAGGGAAAAATCGGGGGTGATGGGAGGTGTGATTCAAAGGGAGGGAAAAATCGGGGGTGATGGGAGGTGTGATCCAAAGGGAGAAAAAATCTGGGATGGTGGGGAGTGTGATCTAAAAGGAGGGAAAAATCGGGGGTGATGGGAGGTGTGATCCAAAGGGAGGAAAAATCGGGGATGGTGGCAGGTGTGGTCCAAAAGGAGGAAAAATCGGGGATGATAGCAGATGTGAACCAAAGGGAGTGAAAAAATCGGGGATGATGGGAGGTGTGGTCCAAAAGGAGGAAAAATAGGGGGTGATGGCAGATGTGACCCAAAGGGAGAGAAAAATCGGGGGTGATGGGAGGTGTGATCCAAAGGAAAGAAAATCAGGAATGCTGGGAGATGTGATCCAAGGGGAAGGAAATATATATTCGGAAGAACCCGGGTCAAGATGCCCCAGAATTAAAGCCCAAATAGACTCAGTTCTTCTACCACCTAGGGAGATATATATATATATATTGTTACCTTGGGTTTTGCAAGCTGAAAGAGAGGGATGGCGAAGAGATTCTTCTCCCGAGACTGGCTGTGCTGTCGAGGTTTCTGGCTCAGGATTGTTGTGATGAGGGCAAGCGGGAGAGAAGTTTCCGGCTCACTGGAAGGAAAAAGCGGGGTATAAATTAAACTAAATCAAGCCCACCCGAATAAGTCTCCCCTCCCCAACTTGCTTCCTCCCCAATCCTTCCAAATGTAAAGGAGGAATAATGCGACTTACCTTTTGGAAAGGTGCTGTGGGGTTTCCCGGTAATTTCCTCTAGCCAAGGATGCCTTCTCGGTTTGGGTCTCAGCCTGGGAAGTCCTGCTTTTATTCCCTGGGAAATGGGCAGGGGTCTTGGCGCCCATTGGTGGGCTTTCTGAAGGGCGCGCTCTGATTGGCCAGCTTCTCTCCAAGGTAAGTTCAAGTTGGGGAGCCTCTAGGTCAGTGGTTCTCAACTTTCCCAATGCTGCCACCCCTTAATACAGTTTCTCATGTTACCCCTTAATACAGTTCCTCAACAGAAAATACAGGAAGGGTTTGGTGGGCATTGACGTTGAGTTTGGGAGTTGTAGTTCGCCTACATCCAGAGAGCACTGTGGATTCAAATGATGATGGATCTGGACCAAACTTGACACAAATACTCAATATGCCCAAATGGGAACACTGGTGGAGTTTGGGGAAAATAGACCTTGACACTTGGGAGTTGTAGTTGCTGGGATTTATAGTTCATCTACACTCAAAAAGTGCCTTGAACTCCACCAACGATGGAGCTGATGCAAACTTGGCACACAGAACTCCCAGAACCAACAGAAAATACTGGAAAGGTTTGGTGGGCGTTGACCTTGAGTTTTGGAGTTGTAGTTCACCTACATCCAGAGAGCAATGTGGATTCAAACAATGATAGATCCGGACCAAACTTGGTACAAATACTCAATATGCCCAAATGGGAACATTGGTGGAATTTGGAGAAAATAGACCTTGACACTTGGGAGTTGTAGTTGCTGGGATGTATAGTTCACCTACAATCAAAGAGCATTCTGAACACCACCGATAGAATTGGGTCAAACTTCCCACACAGAACCCCCACGTGCAACAGAAAATATTGTGTTTTCTGATGGTGTTTGGCAACCCTACTGACGCCCCCCTCGCGACCCCCTCCCAGGGGTCCTGACCCTCAGGTTGAGAAATGCTGCTCTAGGGCTCTCACCTTTCTGGATCTCCGCTCTTAGGTTGCATCTACACCAGGCATGGGCAAACTTGGGCCCTCCGGGTGTTTTGGACTTCAACTCCCACAATTCCTAACAGCCGGTAAAAGACCAGGAGGGCCCAAGTTTGCCCATGCCTGATCTACACTGTAAAATAAATGCAGTTTGGATACCCCTTCAACTGTTTTGGCTCCATGCTATAAAATTCTGGGAGTTGCAGTTTGCTGAGGCCCCATCACTCTTTTTATAGAGAAAGCTGTTATTATGATTATGATTAAAATGTATTATTATTATTATATTTAATTATACCCCACTTTATCTCTCCCACAGGAGATTCAAAGCAGCTAAACATTAAAGCAGTGGTTCTCAACCTGTGGGTCCCCAGATGTTTTGGCCTACAACTCCCAGAAATCCCAGCCATTTTACCAGCTGTTAGGATTTCTGGGAGTTGAAGGCCAAAACATCTGGGGACCCACAGGTTGAGAACCACTGCAAGCATTAGCATATAATTTAAAAGGCTTTTGGGAAACTGCAAATCCCAGCTTCTCAAAAGCAGTGAAAGGGGTGTCAAAACCGCTTTTATACTACAGTGTAGATGCACCTTAAGATAAGTAACATTTTCCCAAGATTGCTAGACAGAGCCTAAGAGCCCTTCCAGACAGTTCCTGTATCCTAGGATCTCATCCCATGTTTTCTGTTATCCCAGATTATCTGGTAGTGTGGACTCATTTAAAGCAGAGAACCTGGGATGAGATCCTGGGATATAAGGCATGTTGGAAAGAGAGGCGGCCTAGGTAATTTTCAATGGTAAGCAAGCAGTATTTGCCGCCCCCCCCCCAACCAATCACTGATATATATTTTCTGTTCGTCGTGGGAGTTCTGTGTGCCATATTTGGTTCAATTCCATCATTGGTGGAGTTCAGAATGCTCTTTGATTGTAGGTGAACTATACATCCCAGTAACTACAACTTGCATATGTCAAGGTCTATTTTCCCCCAAGAGCGCCTCAAGAGCGCCCCTGGGCAAAATCAACTATACTGCAAATGCTTACTTTGCGTAATGGGTTGAGCCGCCCCTGTCTGGAAGGACCCCGAGAGACTGAGTGCATTTAATGCAGTTTGGCAGCTCTTTAATTGACAGGGATCAATGTTAGGGAATAATGGGAGCTGCAGTTTGGAGAGATCCCAGCAGAGAAGGCTAAGGACTTAGTAAAGCTAAAACTCCCATTACAAAATTTGAATATTTTCCCCTGTTCTTGGTTTTAAAGTGTTATTTCCTGTTTATTTCTGTGGTACTTACTTTGCAAGTAGTTATTATCCTCCAGAAACTTTGTTATTGTGGATGAAATCACTGGGTTCCTGTGAGTTTTCCAGGCAATATGGCCATGTTCCAGAAATATTCGCTCCTGAAATTTCACCCACATCTATGGCAGGCATCCTCAGAGGTTGAGGGGTCTGTTGGAAACTAGGCAAGGGAGGTTTATATATCTGTGGAATGTCCAGGGTGGGAGAAAGAACTCTTGTCTGTTTGAGGCATGTGTGAATATTGCAATTGGCCACCTTCATTAGCATTGAATGGCCTTTCAGCTTCAAAGCCTGGCTGGTTGCTGCCTGGGGGAATTCTTTGTTGGGAAGTGTTAGTTGCCCTGATTGATTCTTGTCTGGACTTCCCCTGCTTTCTGAGTGTTGCCCTTTATGTACTATCCTGATTTTAGAGCTTTTAAAAATACTGGTAAGCCAGATTTTGTTCATTTTCATGGTTTCCTTCTTTCTGTTGAAAATGTTCACATGCTTGTGGCTTCTCTGTGTAGTCAGACATGTAGTCACTTTTGTTTTTAGAGATATTAGAATGAGGGGGGAAAGTCCATCTAGTTGTTAAGAGTGGTCCAAACACGTTCCTGGACCACTTCAACAACATCCACCCAAACATCCAATTCACCATGGAAAAAGAAAACGCAATTTCTAGATGTCCTACTCATCCGCAAATCAGATCAACATTTAGGTTCAGCAAAGAACAAGAGGGATGCCCTCACCTTTGCAGGAGTCTACTGTATAACACTTCCAGCTGTATAACACCTCCTTTGTTGGAAGGTGTTACTGTATAACACCTTCCAACAAAGGATTAGGCTTTAAAATATGTCCTTTAAGCTATTACAGAAGTATTAGGATAGGGATTTGTGTTTATTGTGTCTTTGTATACTTGTCTTTTGTCTATTACTGTTGATATGGTCAGAGGACTAATCAATAAACAAATCTATTGTTACCAATTAGCAATATCTGGGCTTTCTGTATAGTTTACAGAAAGCCCAGAATAATAGCGCTATGTTGCTTTCAAAGATAATGGGGGATTATGTTTTCATAATGGGGGGGATTATGAATCCAATGAGCAGGGTGAGCTCCTGCTGTTAGCTCCAGCTTCTGCCAACCCTGCAGTTCCAAAACATGCAAATGTGAGTAGATCAAGAGGTACAGCTCTGGTGGGGAGGTAATGGCGCTCCATGCAGTTATGCTGGCCACATGACCTTGGAGGTGTCTATGGACAACGGCGACACTTTGGATTTGAAATGGAGATGAGCACCACCCCTCAGAGTTGGACACGACCAGACTTAATGTCAGGGGAAACCTTTACCTGTGTTTTCTACCCAATGAGATTTCAGTTGCAATATCAAATTCCGAAAAACGAAATAGGTCAAAATATACTTTTTTATTCAATCAGCGCCTGTTATCAGGATGTATACTTTCAAGTTACACAGACTTTCTCAGCAATGACGATGGAACAAGGTCTCTTGGCGGCAAAACAGAAAGAAAGGTAGCCGGTTAACATGAATGCAAACATATCTCGCCACTTTGCCCTGGTAGGTCACCTTTTAAAAATGCATTTCTTATTCGCTTTCCAGCTAAGGAATGTCTCACAATGTTACCCTTTTGATTAGCAAGACTTGAGGTGCGTCTGCACTGTAGCGTTAGTGCAGTTTGACACCACTTTAACTTCCATGACCACTTGGGAGTTATAGTTTGACATGGTCCTTGTTAGGGAATGCTAAAAACCCCAGGAATCCATAACACTGAATGATGGCTGTTAAAGTGACATTGAACTGCATTCTTTCCACGGTGTAGATGCACCCTTGGCCATTTTGCAGTTAGGACTGCGTGAGTCTAAAACCTATACATTCATGCACGAAGAAGGGGGCTGGTGGTGCAATCTCTTGTTTGGGGGGTTGTGTGTTTTCCGGGCTCTATGACCATGTTTCAGAAGCATTCTCTTCTGATGTTTCGCCTGCATCTATGGCAGGCATCCTCAAAGGTTGTGAGGTTTCACAACCTCCGAAGATGCCTGCCATAGATGTGGGCGAAATGTCAGGAGAGAATGCTTCTGGTATATGGCCATACAGCCCGGAAAGCTCACAGCAACCCAGTGATTCTGGCCATGAAAGCCTTTGATGATACAATGTTTTGACTGTTTGAATGTTTTTATATTTTTTTATTTAAATTGTATATTTATGATTTTGGTTGTGGGCACCATGGTGTGCCGACTGTTAGACGCCCTGAGACCCTTTGCGGAGGTTGAGATAGGACGTGATACAAATGTCCGAAATAATAATAATAATAATAATAATAATAATAATAATAATAATAATAATATGTTTGTTGAAGGCTTTCATGGCCGAAATCACTGGGTTGCTATGAATTGTTTTGAGTTCTATGACCATGTTCCAGCAGCATTCTCTCCATGTTTCGCCTGCATCTGTGGCTGGCATCTTAAGAAAAAATACCTCCCAGAGAACACCTCCCAAACAGAGGATGCCTCCAGGCAACAAAGGCCAGGCTACCTCTATGCAGATCCCCTCACTGGTTGACTTTGCAAAAATCATGGTTACTCAAATGCTAATTGAGGCTTGCTAAATGCAACATTCACACCTGCTTGAACAGATAAGGATTCTTTCTCCCACCCTGGACATTCCACAGGTATATGCATCACTCCCAAAATAACCTCTGAGGATGCCAGCCACAGATTCAGACAAAACAATAGGAGTGAATGTTGCTGGAACATGGCCATATAGCCCGGAAAATGCACAGCAACCCAATGCTTTGTTTACCCAGACCTCAAACCCAGAACATATAACATATCTATTCCTTCCTTGATAGCTCAAAATCACCGCACAAAGCACACACAGGGCAGAAGTGTGACATACGCGGTTCTATTCCCCCTTCTACCCTGAATTCAGAAAGATGTTGGCATGCAAAGGTGGCCACGCGATTTCCTGACACTTGTAGGGTACATCCCCCCTTCCAGGGTTCACACGGGAGAAAGGCACTCGAGAGCACAAAAGGCAGAGAGACGGCATCAAGAGAGGGGACAGCAAAGCGAGTGAGAGTTTCCCTTTGTCAACAAGAGCGGGGGGGGGGGGGGGGGGGCCTTCCCCCTCCATCTTGGAAGAGGGCAGAAGGAGAAAAAGGGCCAGGGGAGGAGGCATCACTCCTTGGGGTAATGCCGGGAGAGGTAGACGTTCTTCCCATCGTACTCCGAAGTAGTGAGGCACTTGAGGAAGAAGTGCCCGAGGTCGTGTTTGGAGATGACTCTGGATCCGCTCGAAGTGTCCACCGTCACCGTATAGTCCCCTGTGAGCGGCTGGTCACCTGGAAGGGCAGGAGAGCTCAGATTAGACGCTCAGGAGAGGCATTTAGTGACTCAATAACACAACTCTTTTCCTGGGGTTTTATGGGGCTTTCCTCGCCAATACCTTGCTCAATCACACCTTTTTGACCACATCCCTTTTAATATTTTTTTATTTAAAAGCAAATGCAAAGGAGTGGGTTAAAGTGCTGAGCTGCTGAACTTGCTGACCAAAAGATCACAGGTTGAAATCTGGGGAGTGGCATGAGTTCCTGCTGTTAGTCCCAGCAGGAGCATAGTACATTATATTACGAGGGGTATTTTTTAAGTAAGGTCTGTTTTGTTGTAGACACTAGTAGTTCGCGCGCATACCGCAACGAGCGCGTGCGTCGTGTACCGGCATGCCTCGGGAACAACTGTGCTCAGTTTCCTCTCTGTAGCTAACCTGTATGGTTCTGTTCTGTGCTTTAAAAATGTTTAAGACTATCAACTCACCCTCCGCATGTGAGGTTCGCTCAGTGATACGGTTTTTGTCAGCAAGGAACCTGCCTGCTGCAGAAATTCATCGACAGATTTGTGAAGTGTACGGTGATACTGTTATGAGTGAAAGCAAAGTGCGTAAGTGGGTACGACAATTCAAAGATGGCCGTGACAACGTCCATGATGAGGACCGCTCCGGTCACCCTTCTTTGATTACAGACGATTTGGTGGCTTTTGGTGGCGGCAAGTTTTTATGAAGAGTGTGTTTTAAAATTGGTTCAGAGGTATGATAAGTGTTTGAACAAACTTGGCAACTATGTCGAAAAATAGAGTGAAGTATGTACTTTCTGAAAATAAATGTACTTTTTTGAAATAAACTTTCGTTGTGTACTTATGTTCAAACGGACCTTACTTTAAAAATACCCCTCGTATTAGCATAGTACAATATTAGCATTATATATTACTATATTGTATGATACCACTATGATGAAATATTATTAGTAATATTACATGTAATACAGTATATAATATATAATATTACATGTACTATATAACCAGGACACAGGGACCCCTGGTGGCACAATGGGTTAAAACGCTGAGCTGCTGAACTTGCTGACCAAAATGTCGGTGATTTGAATCCAGAGAGTGGGGTGAGCTCCTGCTCTTAGGCCCAGCTTCTGCCAATGTAGCAGTTCGAAAACATGCAAATGTGAATAGATAATAGGTACCGCTCTGGGGGGAAGGTAATGATGCTCCATGCAGTCATGCTGGCCAACACCGTCTCTTCGCTTAGAAATGGAAATGAGCACCAACCTCAGAGTCGGACACAACTGGACTTATTTATTTAGGGCTTTTATATCCCGTCCTTTCTCAACCTCTGCAGAGGGACTCAGGACGGCTTAATGTCAGAGGAAAACCCTTACCTTTACTTATTATAATGTAATACAATATAATACTACTAGTAATAATACAATATAATTGTATAGTATATATTACATGTAATATTACTACTAATATATCAGTGTAGTGGTATAGTACAATATAGTAATACACAATATTAATATTGGGCTATGCTAAAAATATATGTACATATAATATTGATCATAATATTATAATGTAATACAATATAATTCTAACAATACAATATAATAATTGTATATTATATAGTAATAGTAAATGTTTTCCCTGACATTAAGTCTAGTTATATCTGACTCTGGCGGTTGGTGATTGTCTCCATTTTTAAGCCGAAGAGCTGACATTGTTCGTAGACACCTCCAAGCTCACGTGGCCGGCATGATGGCGTCGAGTGCCCTTACCTTCCTGCAGAAGCAGTACCTATTGATCTACTCACATTTGCATGTTTTTGAACTGCTAGGTTGGCAGATTCTGGGGCTAACAGTGGGAGCTCACCCTGCTTCCTGGATTCGAACTGCCGACCTTTCCGTCAGTAAGTTCAGCAGCTCAGCGCTTTAACCTGCTGTGCCACTGGGGGCTCCGAAGGATAGCAATATGTACTCCTTTTATGCTTCTCTCCACCAAAATCAAAGTACCTATACATTTATGGTTCGAAAAGCCAAAGATCTCATGACTTGAAAGCCACCAAGGCAGGAAAAGGACACAAAAGGGTTATGCACCACCTAAATCACACATAATCCTTTTTACAAGCTTGGAAATGTTTCTTCCCTGCCATTTTAATGAAGAAAGAACACCGCACATTTTGCAGAGCTCCACTGTGATCAGAATCAGCTCTTAATTTAGCTCCGAACCGCGTGGGTGGGTGGCTTGCATTGCTCAAATACCACGTGAAGCCCTGTGCCAAACATGAATGGGAATGCAGGCCAAAACATGCAGCAACAGGAATCTATTTGCATAGAGGCTTCCCTTCCACAAATATATAGAGTCAAAATAAACAGAGCTACCACCAACCCTGCCACAAGTCATTGCTCGCATTGGCAGCCCAGTTGTGGCAAATCCCCAATGCTAGGATGGGCACTGGTTGTGAATTCGTACCTGCGATGTGGGGCGGCATAACGTAGACGCAGTCCAGCCCCGACTCTTTCAGGATCTGCTGCATCCGGATGTGGTCTTCTGTCACTGGCCGCAGCTTGGCGGGGACCTTGTCCAAATCCCACATGAGGAAGGCTACATGGGGGCAAAGACAGACATGGAATGGGACATGCATCCAGTTTACAAGCATTGCTGACATTGAGAAGTAAAGGTTGAGAGGGATATGATAGCCATGTTTGACTATTTGAAAGCATGTCACATTGAGAAGGGGACAAGCTTGGTTTCTATTGCTCTACAGACCAGGACATGGAGCAATGGCTTCAAATTGCAGGAAAAATAGATTCACATACACATTAGGAAGAAAGCCTGATGGTAAGAGCTGTTTGGCATTGGAATATGCTGCCTTGGGGCCTAGTGGAGTCTCCAGAGTCCTCCTCTGGAGGCTGGGTGGGCATCTGTTGGGACGGCTTTGATTGCATCAATCCATGGTTTAGTCTAACTAGCCCTTGGAGTTGTTGTGGTTTATGGAGTAGAAAAACTACTTTCAAAGTAAGCACTGCACACTGAAACAGGAAATAACACTTTCAAACATCCATGTCAGGAGCAACTCGAGAAACCGCAAGTTGATTCTGGTGTGAGAGAACTGGCCGTCTGCAAGGACTTTGCCCTTGGAGTCTCTTCCAACTCTATGAAAACTAGGTACATGGCCTACAGAAATTATACGGCGCACACAATGAGATGTTGCAAGATGCTGAGTTCACACTAAATTGCCTTGTCCAGGGTCAAACCCTTTGGACTATCTAGTAAACAAGACTTGGAGAAGGAAGGCTTTTCATAGGTTCAGACAGACATCTTTCTGGCCAAGGTTTTACAATATTTACACAAACTATATCTGCCCTATCTCCTAGGATTAGAATGCAAGGTATCCCACTTTTGGAGTAAAATAACAGCTCAAGATAGAGATGGAAGGAAAAATTGGTATGCTGAAATATATTAAATAATAATAATAATAATAATAATAATAATAATAAATTATAGTATCATATTTCTTGATTCTAAGGCACACAAATGTCTGTACCACCAACGGAATATCTATCTTTCTGTCTCACTATCTTTGCCTCCTGATTTTCTGGGAGGGAAAGTCTGTTGGCATCACTACGTGGGTGTAATCAGAATAATAATAATAATAATAATAATAATAATAATAATAATAATAATGACACGATATGATGATTTAAAGATCAAACTGCAAAGAGACTGGCACAAACCAGTAAAGGTTGTCCCAGTGGTGATCGGCACACTGGGTGCAGTGCCTAAAGACCTTGGCCTGCACTTAAACACAATCGGCGCTGACAGGATTACCATCTGCCAGTTTCAAAAGGCCGCCTTACTGGGATCTGCATGCGTTATTCGCCAATATATCACACAGTCCTAGACACTTGGGAAGTGTCCGATGTGTAATCCAATACAACAGCCAGCAGAGTGATCTTGTTTGCTGTGGACTCATCTTGTTGTCTTTCAAATAATAATAACAATAACAATATAAAATTATATTATTATTAGGAGCCCCCAGTGACACAATGGGTTAAAGCCCTGTGCTGGCAGGACTGGAGACCAACAGGTTAGAGGTTTGAATCCGAGGAGAGCGTGGATGAGCTCCCTCTGTCAGTTCCAGCTCCCCATGCAGGGACATGAGAGAAGCCTCCCACAAGGATGCGTATGGTGAGATCATGTTCCAGTGGCTCTTTCCCCATGCAGGGTACTAACGATTGTAAGATGCAGCCACACCTCCCACAAGGATGGTTAAAACATCAAAACATCCAGGCATAGCTTTCAGCAAGAGCCCGTATCTGGGCAACAGTTTTCTTGCCAGACGGCCAATTCTCTAAACACCAAGGGAGAAGACAAACTTGCAGTTTCCAGCTAATCTTCTCCTGATAATGACAAAATGGAAAAAAAAATCTGCATTCTCCAGCGGTTGTCAAGTGAGTTCTCTGAGGCTGATCGGGGGGAAATCATTTGTTGGGAGGGTTTTTATGTTGTAGTGGCCTCTTCCTGACTCATTCTATTTGTCATGGATAGGGTTGACCATCGCTTTCCTGAGGCATTGCTGTCTGTGTGCCTGATCCGGGTGTTCTCATACCACTACATTTATCTTTTACTTGTCCCTTGGTAGGGCCATAGTGGTATGAGTATGACGATTTTTGAATAGGTTGT